TAGCCACTGTAGCAAAGCGCATGTGTAGATGTACTTGATGTGTAACAGCAGGGGGTTAGACTCTGACCTCTGGAGGTCCCTTCCAGCCCTACTTATCTATGATTCTATGTGTTTGTACAGCGCCTAGCACAACAGGGCCCTAGTCTAGTTAAAGATGGGGTTTTCAAAAGCACCTAACTGATTGCAAAACACAAGTCTGACTTAAAAGAGGCTTGTGCTCTAAGCTTAGGTAAGTACTTTGGGAAATTTTCCACCCCCATGTGCTACAGTAAGACAATTAAATGGGAATTTGGGGTTGACAACTGTTCAGTAATGGTAGGCCAAAATATTGTAGCTCAGTCCTAAGTTGGATCACAGCTGATTCCCCTTGCTGCCATTTGCTGCTGCTGCATGGGCTTGGCAATCCAGGTGCAACCTCTCCATAGGTTGGAAGTTGCCAACCCCTGGTGTAGAGCAATCATGATTGCCATTCCAGCCCCCCCCTCAGCTTGGGATGTGATGGCATCATGATACCCTCTGACTGTTCTTATTGATGATTACGTTGCTAAACATTTCCCATTACTAATGGACTAAATATGACTCAAACACTTCATTGATGTTAGTCTATCACATAAACAACCTCTGGGGATCTTCTGTGATTGTGCAGATTGTTCTAGTTTGGAAGAGGAAGTTGTCCATGTAATGATGGGTGAATGGGGTCATGGTCTATGAAAAACTCTAGGAAGATGTTGGCTACATTTTTAGTCCCTACTTGTTTCAGTGACCTTAGATTTTAAAAAGCTGCTGCTTGCTGGTGGCTTTTCTTTGAAGTGACAGAAATTCCTGGCACTGGCATCTAGTGAGTGATAACTGCCTGTGATAAATTGTCCTAGCTTTGACGCTGTGTGGGGCACTAATAATCCAGTCTTACTGGGACTGTCTATGATTACATCCTACATACCCAGATCATTCTTGGACTAAGCCAATCCTTGGAAATATCAGAGGAGAAATCACAAAATGTTCCAGAACATGGAGCTGGCAGCTGGGTGTCAACAAGAGTGAACACCACAATGTGTTTTCTTTTCTTTCTTTTTATTAAGAAAGAAAGAAACCACAGTTGACAAGTGAGTGCCCATCTGTCTGCCTGTTTCTGACTATTTAAAAATAACAAGGTATCCAGCTGACCATGCCTTGCTCTGTCCCTTTTGTTATGAATGAGCATGTTATTTCTCTGTTATCAAAGTTGCAGTCTGGGTGGTAACAATACATAATTTCTGTACTACATAACGTGTCAACTTTTTTTGGTTCAGCCAGCAAAAATGTCTTGGGTTTGTTTTAGCTAATGGCTACTGGTCATGCCCTGGTCATGTTGTGATGTTGTATATATTGACGTTTCTTTATACTCTGCTTTGAAAAAATAATGAAGAATAATTCTGACCTAATAATAACAATGAAGGGGAACCAAGGTCATGAGCCCTCTTCTGTTCCGCTCATAGTCATCTTGAACAATCTTCCAATTGAGGAAACAGCCTGTGAATGTCAGGAAAGTCGCTTCCTTTTATCTCATTCAGTTAGTTTCAGCACATACCGCTTTCTTGAAACAGATGGATGTTGTGCAATATTTTAACTGAGTGATCACTTGTGGGGGAACTTGTACTTTGCTTTATGCTGGGTAAACTGTTTATGGTGGGGTATTTTTTGCTTGCTTTTATTATTTTTTGGTTCTCCCCACTTTCCCATGACTGAGACCAGGGAACAAACAACTGCAGCTACCAACCAGTGTCCTTGGGTAGATGGTAACCGTTCCATACATTTGCCAGGCCATTAATGCTATTCCCTCATTGCCAGGCTGCACACACAGCCCTCTTTGCATATTTGGTAAAGGCAAATAGACAGCCATGATGATGTACAAACCCCGAGTTATAAATAAGTGGTGAATGTTGGGTGACTTTGCTAACTGCTTATTAGCAGAAGGCAGGGCAGTGTGGCACCCTACAGAATAACTCATGTATTAGTATTTACAGAGCACATAATAATGCACTGTGTTATCCTGAGCAAATAGAAAGACACAGGGCTGCATTTTCAAAGCTATTTAGCTATTTCAATTGGGCACCTAAATAGCTCTAAATATTACCCCTAGTCCCTGTCCCAAAGGACTCTATCTAATTTTAGATGCAGTGCAATGAGTAGGAGTATCAAACAATAGTGAGGGTTACAGTAATGGCATTGTGCACTTACTCCATGTGAACTTGTGCACATCCTGATGACTCAATTACAGTTTTTAAATAAATCATTACATCGGACTCGCATCTCAGTCTCAGCATAGGATTATCCACCTTGAACAACAGAGGCTTCAGTCCTGATAAAAATATCAGCCATTGCATCAGCCATGCCTACCTCATTCAGACATGTAACGTTATTGACCTACCCCAGGGGCACATTCCACAGACAACATCTTGTTTTTTGTGCTTGAATTATAGCATCTTAGATTCCCTGTGTCCTCTTCATCTGTGTCACTCTGATTTCATATGTCCTGAATGCAGTGTGGGCTAATCTTCAAAAAGGTGCTATTATTATTTTGAATACAATTACTATTCTGTGCATGTGTGTGCGTGCATACACACACAGACACACACACTGCCTGACATTTTTAGCTCTGTCTGGGGAAACTGAGTTAATGAATAGATATCCTAAAACAATACTCATTGGAGCAGAAAATTTAACTCAAATTTCTTTTCTCCCAGCCAGTAGTCTATGGTGTCCTACCTGATCTTGCTCTGTTTTGCCCTATCTTAATTATTCATTACTTCAAGAGGTGGGATTGAGAGTTCCCTCTTGAACTCTAGCATGCCCTACTGTCTGGTAGAGGATTTGCATGGTAGATGGACATTCACATCCCCACAAGGTGGGACTAGACTTAGACCCAGTGGGAGGTGCCTTTGAGCCAGATCCAAATTGACTTTTAAGAACCTAATTTGGATGTTGCAAATTCCATTGGGTACTTAAAAGTTAGATACTCCAGTAAGTGGCAGTGTAACACCGAAGTCCTTTTAGGCACCTCTGGCTAAAGTTTCAAGTTCCATCTAAGGGCTCCTAGAGGTGCCCACGTCCAAACATGCCAGCCTTTTTGCCAGTCAGAGGGCAAGTGTCTCAGTCTGGGAGAGGTCACGATTATGACTCATGATCAAGAACAGGCACCTTCCTGCAGGCTAGTGTAAGGCTCCTACATCTCTAAGATAGGAAGGGCTTGAGCCCCACCCATCCTAAGTATTTCCTGGTAGCCTTAGTAGCTCACTATTCAGCTTTCTAGTTTTCATGGATCCCATTCTTAAGAGCCTAAGGGCTACAGATAACATTTGGATATGTAAGTGCAATTTTGTACTACCTTGTTAAAACAAGTGAAAAATTGTTAATACAAAAGGTGGGTCCCATCTCCTTGCTGTTTTTTTCTGACTCAGTCTTAAGGCTGAGATGATGGGGTGTTACAAGAGTATATTCAGTCATTGATTTTAGGTAGTTGAATTGGATGGAATAGATGCATAGGGTATGTATACATGTGCTCTGGCATTTTAATTAGACACCCGTAGCATCTCATGTATCCACTGCCCCGTGTTCCAAAATGGTGGTAGGGACACTTAACTAATGCGCATTCAATGAGCAATAGTTAAAGTGCTCCTGCTGCCATTTTGAAAGATGGGATGCTGGATACATGAGACGCTGGAGCGTTCTGATTAGAATGTTCCGGCAGATGCAATTAATCAAATCCACTCTGATGTGTTCTAATCGGAACACATCAAAGCACATGTATAGGTACCCATAAGGCACACTTCGGCACTGAAGTCCATTTAACTGCTGAAAATGTAAACTAGAATCTGGCCCTAAAAGTTACCATTGCAGCAGCTCAGTTCTATTTTGGAACAAGCCTCTATAAGGAATTTCAAAAGCTCCTAAGCATGTTAGATCAAGGATACAGCCCATAATTGAAGCTTCAGATCTGCTTTTCTTTGAACCTATTATACGGGTACCCATTACCACATGCTAGTGGTTTTCAAACTTCCTAAAGTCACAGAACACTTTCATATTACTTTTTCTGCCACAGAACCATTTCTCCTATCTTATAGGCTGATGGGGAGCCAGGCAACCAAGAACCACTGCCATAGATGCATACCTGTGGGCTTGGGAACTGAATTTTGGGCACCTAATTTTGAAAGTATTTTCATGCTAGATAGAGAGAACAAAAGGCAAAAAAGGTCTTGTGTTAATACACTGCAACTTGTATCACAGGTTCTCATCTGTGGCCAAGCTTGAAGTAACCCATTTAAAGTTTTCCCAGTATCTTGAATATAGTTTTGCTCAACCTTTTGTTAAGGAGAACACCATTACAAAACTATTTTGGCTGATTATCTGGGGGTGGTTGCTTAGGGCAATGTTATAACAAATTGCTTCCTTCTTTTCTCTATGAGCAGCACTGTTGGGAAACTACCCTCGTACCAAAAACTGATCCACATTCAATTTATGTTTTCTTGAACTCTGCCACAAAACCCATGGGACTGATCCTTCTGTGTTACAATCTAAATACCTGCTTATTAATTACTTCTTATTCATTTATTGTAAGTTTTACATATACTTTGATGCACAAAGTTCCTTGACATTTCTTTTAGATCGAAATAAGGGTCCAGAAACAAATATAATTATATATTTTTATTATAGAATTTATCTAAAATACAATCTTAATTTCTTTTTTAAATTAGAGCATATATTACCTTAATGAAAAGATATTTTGTATTACATCTATGATAAGAACTTTTACAGATGATACTCAATTTAAGATAGTTTACAATTTTAAAAAAATCCCAGCACATTAAAGACATACTTGTGGTTGATGATAGTATGGCTAAAAAATTAAAATATTAAAAAAATATGTATACTTCATCTGCTTAAAACCAAAGATATCTAACCTGTAATATTACCTTTGTTTTTCACTATGTCAATGCAATTTAAGCTATTTAATCATATCTAAAATGTTCAAGTTATTCTGTATTCCTGTGCTTTTGGAAAAGCTTCAAGTTATTGAGTACACTTAATTTTATGTACTACCACCTGTGAATGAGGTTATTTAAAATGGCTTATTTTGCTGTCAAAAGTACTACTGTAATCAAAATGTCAGTCACAGTAAATATCGAACTTCACACAAGGATGTTCCTCCCACCCTACGTATTATAAACCCTTTCCCTTGGTCTAGGGTCTTTCACATTTCATCAGCTAATATTTTAGATGCAGAGTGGAAGAAACAAAGGAGCTAGGAGATGAGACGTTGCCATTGCACAGATGGCAAAGGCTTGATTTTTGTGCTTAGCAGAAGGGCTCCTCACAAACGCAGCAATTTCTGTCAAGCTCAGCACTTTGCTTATTGGAATGAGGCTCTCACTCCTCTTCTCTTCAGAGGCTGGCATGGGCGCCAGTTGTCGACCATGTGGCATACGGGCTCATTCTCAGAACTGAAGCAAAGGCCACGGAGTTTGGATATCTGCGGGGAGGGGGAAGAAGATAGCACCAGCATTAGACTTCAGTTGCAGCCTTAGACCTCAAGAGACCTGTTTGCAATATACAGTATGGATCAGAGACTATCAGAATTTTTGGGAGTAGGGAGAAGGTGACCTAAAGCCAACTCTAATTTTTGCCTGCTTTAATAACCCTCTAGGGAATATTTTCTGAGTCAACAATTTAACTACAAGGCAACATACCCTTTCCTGCCCTCAGCATTCCCCTTTGCTATCAGAACCAGGAAAAGGTGACATAGGACCATCCAGAGACAATTTTCTAGGCATTTTGTAGCACAGAAGAGCACAGCATTCTCTTGGTTATTTAAAATTAGAACATTTTTGGCACTTCAGTGTTTAACTAAAACTGACCCAATCAGCAAGAATGAAAAAATCAATGAAGCTCTCCTGGCATGAGAGGCAAATCAGTCCCAACATCTGTAAGAAGGCACTGTAGGGACTGAAAGACTAGCATTTGATCCCAAAAAAATCAGGATCTGCAAGTGCCCTACTCTCCAAGGCACAATCTATTTAGAGAGCTAGCAGGGAGCTCTAGGAAAAAGATAATTCTGCCATAAAACTCCTGTGTTCCAAATGTACATTAGGACAGTTTTATCTACTGAAATACTGGCGGTAAAGCATGTGGGAAATCAGTAAGAAATCTTATTCTATTAAACATTTATTTGCCCATTATAAACAAGTCTACAGTTCATGTATCTGCTTATATAAACACCACATAGGAGAGTCTTCAGATGTAGACTCTCAGTTAATTCAGATCTAATGGTGAAACCCAGTATTCTAGTACAGCACATGGATTTCTCATATGGACAATCATTCATATGCAGTATACGATTTCATCACACATGAAAAAAGCATTATTCAATGCAAGTAAAAGTATGTCATGTCATGCAGATTTCTTTAGGGAGGTGATCCACAGACAAAAGAAACTTCAGCTGACTAAAGAAATCCAGAATTGTGTGTCCTACAGTTGGTGCAGCAGCTATTGATAACATGGATTTAAACTGTTGAAGGGTAAGGCAAAAGCCCTTTAGATGTGGCTTATATTTGTGGCACTTAGATCCTATTTATAGCTTCCAGCCTAAACACATGCAGACCTGAAGGAGGAATTCTGCATGTATACAGTTTCATTAGAGAAGGTTGAACAGAACCTAAGCCTAGAGACTCAACCTGACAGTGCCTTATCTTTCCCACTCTCCTCAAGCTCCACAATACAAGAGGGTTTTTTCCTTCCTTTTTCTTTAAATAAAATACAGATTTCTGGAAGCCAGGAGCTTTCTACATGCCAAGCTATAGGAGATCAATTTGGCTCCTGTTCCTAGCAAAGTCCACTTCTGCATATGCAGATACACAATAAGGAAAGCAATAATATGTGGATATAAAATATTCCTCTTTAACCCCCAAAGATATACCTGTTCTGGGCTGACATAAATAGGCTCTCTCAAAACATGCCAAATAACACATTCAAGTAGAGGGGGAGTGGTCAGTGAGCCTGGGTATGTCCAGAAATCCAGGGATGCAGGAAGCAGTCCTGTGGGATCATAGTCTGTGAAGGCAGCTCGTTTGCCCTATAACAGAAAAAGCAACCTGTTAATCCAATATGAGGTGAAGTCAGCTTGTACATACTTTGTTTGCAGAAGGAGAGTCTAAGGTGGTTCCGTATTTGGAGGGAGAGGGTCAGACACGCACATATGGCAAACATGTGCACACACACATATCAATCCTGCACAGTGCCCAGCCTATTTAAATTTAAAAGTTTCCAAGCCTATTTAAGTTGAAAAGTGCTCAGAACATCGCAGGTCCAAACTCTGGTCTGTGCTTCAAATGTCACTGTCAGTGCCCCTTCCCTTTAATATGTTCCTTGATTGTATTGTTCTTGTGGAAAGGATCAAACAGAACTACATGTTCTGATGGCTAAGGAGATCTAGCACATATGAAAATGGTGGGTCTAGTTCAGCATCAATGGATGTCAGTAGCAAAGCAAGCATTAACCTCAGTGGAATCTGGATTGTTGACCTGGATGTGACAAAAAGGTAGGAGCAAAATGTCCCCTTCTCTGTTTTTCTTTCCTCAAATGTCCATCACCTTAGAATTTGGACAGCTAACTTTGCAATAAATAGCAAAAAATCATAGTAGGCTATATTTTAACTACCTACTTCATAAAAATACAGTCATAAGATTTACATCGTATATAAATGTGACAGTATTCTGACTACAGACTCAACCACAGCTGAAAACCAGGACAACACAATCATATAAATAAATCAATATTCACAGTTCCCCTCTCCAAGTGTTGTTGTGTGATACCATAAAGCCACACTACCCATTATTATATCCTAATCTAAAAAAAAACCCAAACTATTTGAGCCCTCCTTAAAGTAGGGAATACAAATGCATCAATGCAGCTGACATGGAGCAACACCACCTGAGTACACAAGCAAAACGAACAGAAATCAAAATAGCTATTTTGCATGTCAGGTGAAGGACATAAGAAATGGTTGTGATTGCTGTCATTTAGCACATGGTTCATTAACTACCTTGGTTCGAATGGCATCCAGCACATCAACCACCCTCTGTATTTCAGGTTTGGCATTTCCCACCTGCAATGCAAGACAAATGAAGCACAAGTGAGTATGTGTGTGTGTGTGACAATTCAGGCTGAGCTGACTAACAACTAAAGAAACATTTTATATTACACCACCACCACACCACTGGAATGGCTCACAATGTTGCACAAACATGATTGTAAACTGGCCTTATGACAAATTTAAGAGTTTGCCAGTTGGCACAAATGGGCTGTGTTTATCTGTGGAAGTCATCAATAATGGGAATAGAACTGTGTTAAGATATGATGGCTTTATCTTTGGACCTGTGCCTTTGGTTTCTCATAAATTCATATTCAGACTCTTAATTAAGTCAAGCTAATGCCAGTAGGGCACAGTAGGGCAAAAGATTCTGCATACCGAGCAATGGTCTGCATGCAAATTTTGTGCTAGCGTAACCATGTTAGTGTGAAATGTGATTCTACTGAGATGGTTATACTAATACCACACCTAGCATGGATGCAAGTGTATCAGTATTGCAGGTGGTTTATACCAGTATAGCTTGTTGTTCTTCCTGTATGGAAGGAAAGATGGGAGAATAAGCACTTTTATACCAAATATAACTTTGTCCACACTTGCAGAAATTGTACTTTTTAAAATCTATACTGGTATTATGAAAATGCTATGAATTGTGTGTTGCTAAGCCATTCAGTCAGGCAGGGACCATCTTTTTGTTGCATGTTTGTGCAGGCTAGGACAGAAAGCTCTTAATCCATTATCAGGGACCCTACTAACTACTGCAATACAAATAACACATTACCATAATAATAACGGTTTAACTAACCTTAAGTAAAATGCCCAGCACAGTCAAGCCATCAGGATGTTTCACAGCCTCACTAGATGTACCATATCTTGTGTTCCAGTGAACCAGGTGAAGCTAAAAGCAGGGGGACAAAAAAAGCATTTGTGAAGAGTGCATTCTAACAGACAGAGCATCTCAACTAATAATTTACAAAATAAGGAACCAGGAAGGTCATTAATTAAACATTAACAACAGATGGTGTTTTACAGCTCAGACTTTAAAAGTTCTCCATGCAACTAAGAATTTGCTGAATCATTCATCTGCTTTACATATTATGTAGTAACCTTTATTCAAATAGATATTGATAAGTTGTTACTCATTCTCTCTCCCAGGTGAATTTTTAAGTGCAAACTGTGAGCTACGTCTTGCTTACTCTGATCAAATTCACATGGTTTTTATAGGGAGTTGTGCCTAAACAAAGACTGCAGGATTTCACTTGTTTTAAATTTGGTATTCCACTTTTTCCAGAGGACACAGGTAACAAGCTCAACCCCCAAATCTGAGGAAATCATATCTGTTACACAAAGGATTAGTTTGGCCTATAATCTAGGGAATGTTAAAAAAAAAAAATCAAAGAAAGATAGTGAGCTTAATGTATAACTGAAGCACTGAGAGTAGCCCAGTTCCACAGTCTAGGTAAACACACATTAAACGGGTTACAGGGAGAAATTAAACCCTGCAGGACATCACAAATGAGCTAGCAGTATGATTTTTTTCATTCAAAATTTCAAGAGAGCAATGCAACTTGCCTTAGT